ACTGTAGTATAGTGTACTGTAGTGAACTAGTATAGTGTACTGTAGTGAACTAGTGTAGTGAACTGTAGTGTAGTGTACTGTAGTGTGTTGTACTGTAGTGTACTGTAATATAGTGTACTGTAGTGTATTGTAGTGTAGTATAGTGTACTGTAATATAGTGTAGTGTACTGTAATATAGTGTACTGTACTGTAGTATAGTGTACTGTAGTGAACTAGTATAGTGTACTGTAGTGAACTAGTGTAGTGAACTGTAGTGTAGTGTACTGTAGTGTGTTGTACTGTAGTGTACTGTAATAGTGTACTGTAGTATAGTGTACTGTAGCATAGTGTACTGTAGTGAACTGTAGTATAGTGTACTGTAGTGAACTGTAGTATAGTGTACTGTAGTGTATTGTAGTGTAGTATAGTGTACTGTAGTGAACTAGTGTAGTGAACTGTAGTGTAGTGTACTGTAGTGTGTTGTACTGTAGTGTACTGTAATAGTGTACTGTAGTATAGTGTACTGTAGCATAGTGTACTGTAGTGAACTGTAGTGTAGTGTACTGTAGTGTGTTGTACGGTAGTGTACTGTAATATAGTGTACTGTAGTGTAGTATAGTGTACTGTAGTGAACTGCAGTGTAGTGTACTGTAGTGTGTTGTACGGTAGTGTACTGTAATATAGTGTACTGTAGTGTAGTATAGTGTACTGTAGTGTACAGTAATATAGTGTACTGTAGTATAGTGTCCTGTAATGTAGTGTACTGTAGTGTTGTGTAGTGTACTATAGTGTAGTGTACTGTAATATAGTGTAGTGTGGTGAACTGTAGTATAGTGTACTGTAATGTACTGTAGTGAACTGTAGTATAGTGTAGTGTATTGTAGTGTAGTATAGTGTACTGTATTGTAGTGTAGTATAGTGTACTGTAATATAGTGTAGTGTACTGTAATATAGTGTACTGTGGTGAACTGTAGTATAGTGTACTGTAGTGTAATGTACTGTAGTGAAGTGTACTGTACTGTAATATAGTGTACTGTAGTGTAGTGTAGTGTCCTGTAATGTAGTGTAATGTACTGTAGTGTAATATAGTGTCCTGTAATGTAGTGTTGTGTAGTGTACTGTAATATAGTGTAGTGTAGTGTACTGTAGTGTAGTGTACTCACGGCTGTTTAGTGCTGCGGACTATGTGCGGCTCGTACTGAGTGTAGTCAAACTCGGCCTGAGCGCGCAGTTTCTTGTATTTGTTCCCCGCGGTGAAGCGCTGCAGCTCGGCGAGGCTGCAGGGAAACTCGTGCGCGTTCAGAGAGCATCGGATCTGACAGATTTCACACAAATAACATTCAAAAACAGGCTTTCACCACTTCAGCTCTTCACAGGGATCATAAGAACAGCTGACATGTGAGTTTACTCTCATAACTCTGACCTTCTTCGAGTCTGTGAGCTGAAAGCAAGGATGCGTCTGTAGAAATGAGCTCAAATCTTCCGGGAAATCCTCCATAACAGCAAAAAAATTAAATATTAACGAACTAAGTCTATATGAGGGGGAACCTGTTATTGTAATTATTACCACAACAACGCTTGGGGGGAAAAAACACACTAAACTTCAAACTAAGAGGATAAACGCTTCTGTTTTGGTGCGCATGCTGCGCAGCGTGACGTTATATAAACACGACGCTGCCGTAGGACCAAAGACTGTCCAGCGAAATGCCAGAAACGATCGTTTTTAAAGCAGCGAAGTCGTAAGAGATTTTAAAGTCGTCTCAGAATGGATATACTGGCTCTTATATAATCAGTATTTGGAATAATGAAATATTTGGAGCTGAGACAGCAGCGGGTTGATATTTCTGATGAGGCGCGCTATTGGACGCTCGAGATAGTCAGCTGATACTGAGCTGTTCGTGTAGCGTGTTTATATAGAGTGTATATTATATGTTTTCTTCTGCGTGTCGCTATAATAATCTGATATTAATTTATAAAGACTGTTTTAAAGATGTCTGGACCAAACGGAGATCCTGATGTTTCAGCTGATGATGGAATCGTCGAGGATGAAGAGGAATTCAGTGAAGAAGGTATTAATGTCTTTAATTATAATTTTAATTTCACTGCAATCATCTCATTCTCAGTACTGTAACATGCCCGGATGTTTTACTTTAGAAGTAGTTTGTAATTCTATTATTCTCAATGATGATTTTTAATCGTTTCTGACTACTGCAATAGATTTGTTTGTTTTATTTTATATATATATATACATACATTTTCCAATTATATATTTTATTACATTCTTATGAGTAACTCCTCAAATTAATACAATTATATTGTAATTAATAATAAAAAAAAAATCAGTACAAATTTTTATTTAATAATTATATAAATATATTTGTTCATATTTTTATTAATAATATTTTTTAATGTTTATTAACAGTGATAAAATATAATATAAATGATTATGTATACATAATTATAATTATCATGATTAATATATTAATTATAACTTTTATATAAAGATTTTATTACATTCTCATGAGTCACTCCTCAAATTAATACAATTATATTGTAATTAATAATAAAAATTTAATTCAGTATACATTTTAATTTAATAATTATATAAATGAAAATAAAATTCAGTGCATTTTTATTTAATAATTATATAAAATATATTTGTTCATATTTTTATTAATAACAATATTTGTAATGTTTATTAACCGTGTTATTTATATGTATTATTTATACATAATTATAATTATCATGATTAATATATTAATTATAGCTTCTATATAAAGATTTTATTACATTTTTATTGTATTATTAATTATATTTATTAATTTACTACTTAAATGTATAATTTTTTATCAGTATTTATTGATAATTATATATTACAAATGATTATTTATTAGTAATTATATACATGTTCCTTATATTATTATACAATTTTATAGTCATTTCATTATTTTAATTTTTTATTATTCATTACAAATTATATACGTGCCTGTATAAAATTAAAATGTGTTATAATGTGACAATAATAATAAATAATTCTAATATAACATATACATATGCAATGATATAAAAGCAATTGAAACACTAAAGTCAGAATGAATCTCTGAATGGTGCTGCATTAGGTACAATATCAGCACAAGAGTGTTTCGTAAGAATGAAAGTCAGTGTGGTTTGATGTCTGATCAGAATACACAGCCATCGACTCCATGCTGGACCGGATCAACTCCTGTCTGGACCACATCGAGGAGAGAAACCAGGCTCTGAACGGAAAACTGCACGAGCTGCTGGAGTCCAACAGAGAGGCTCGGAGAGAGTTCAGAGAACAGCATCCTCCTGATGAAGAGCCAGAGTCCACTGAAGACTAGAGGAACCAACACCATTCACATCTCGAATATGTACTTACGTCGACTGTCTAAACTGTGCTGTATTAGATTAAAGCCTCGAATGGCTTATTACTTTCATATGAGTTATTATAGTCAACTATAAATATAAAAGCTTTAGGGATGCAACACTACAGTTCAATTCGTACCTCGGGTTTCTGATAGCTTGTCACATCTGTGTCTCATGCAACAAATTAACAACAAAAAACTCGAGAAAAAATAAATAAATAAATGCCTGCTTAAAGGGATAGTTCACCCAAAAATGAAAATGTGATGTTT